CATACCTGCTTGATCTGGTTCCTTATGGCTATACTTGTCTTCAAAGATGATTGGCATGGAACTGTGGTCTCCGTCCAGGGCAGGGCATTCGACAACAACAGGCGGGATTGACTGATAATAACGTGAACTCTTTATCCCTTGTCCAAGACTCTGGTGTAACTGAAAACTAAACGAAAAAAGAAAGATTTGCGCAAAGCAGATAATGAGTGAGAAACGTCAAGGAATTTTGGTTGCTCCTTTGAYGTCACACTCATTAACATATTGTAAGTATAAACCTTGATATTTCCATCACTCAAATCATATAAAAATATTTTACCATTAAAATATTTACTTCAAGTAGAATCAATGCTGAAAAGCTTACGGCTTACGCCTCGTGAGTCCATAACATTTTGACCAACTTTTGACGTCATATCGTGGTAAATAAGAGGACATACCACGCTAAACCATCGTAAATTTGTTTTTTACTACAAAACTCACAAAACTCTAGGAAATAGACTGCACGAAATCTTGCATGACACCATTTGTTGGTATGGCCTCTTACTTACGACGTTTTTTAACCAATCAGCGCGCGAGAAAATTTACAATTGTGGTAAAACTATTTATTTACCTATTTATTTAGGTGTCATAGGCATTTTAAGCCGAAACGAAACGAACCGAACGAACGATAGAGAGTATAAATCTCGTTATGAGCAAACGTGAAACGTCAGTTGACCATGCAGTGAAAAGGAATGGCAAAGATCTCCAAGTAGTAGATAAACAAAAGAATATTTAATTTTGTGTTTGATGAGAAGGTTTGCAAAAGGTCGAGTTAAATACAGGGAAACGATGAAAACGTGGTCATATGTTTACGGTTTGCAGGGGGGGACGTCAATTTAAAACTCCCTTGAATATTATGGTATACCTCACCTTTGTTCTTGGGAATTTTGAAGCTCTTCCCATGTAAACTCTTGAAGGAAGAAGGCCTCTGTAAAATGTCCGATCTACAAAATAGCAAAAACATTTCTTTGTGACAAAAGTGAAAAGCAGAGAAAAACAGTGCGCAAAACAATAGAGTGCATACGATATATCTGTGAAAAAACTTAAGAGACGCGAAAACCTAAGAAAATTGCAAACATTTGCGCAAAACCGCAGTAAGTCCAGTAGACCTCAGCAGACGTGGACCTACAAAACTTTGCATTAATTTTGCTAGTTAACTTTTTCATGGATATATTGTATGCACTGTATCACCAACAACTTGAGATATGAAAATCTTTCGGAAGATCATGTTTGTAGCCCGCTTAGAAACTTACGCCTTGAACACCGCCTTAAAAAACCCTCAAAAAACCCTCAAAATCCTAGACCTGCCCATATGAAACTGATTACGTCCGTGAACTGACAAATGTCTGATTTTTTTAAATATATATTATTTTTTTGATATCTTTTTATTTATYTAATTTATTTTTTGATCTGATATCTTTTTACTAGTTGTTGTTTTAATGTTTTACCCTTTGTCTGTGATGCTCCTCTTGTAGGAATGGTAAGACGCGCTTGTTTAGAGTGAACGATTCCATGAACTGAGACCAAACTAATGCAATCTGTAATAAAAACAAACCTGTTATAGCTCTTGTTATTGTTTTGGCGCTATTCAGTAAAATCGAGAAATTTTAGTGTCGCGAAAAAACATCCGATCTCCAAAATTGCAAAATTATAAAAGGCGTCGCGAAATTTTCATGTAATATGGTAATTTGATATATAATCATCGATATTATAATTCTTGGGGGTTTGGTACTCTTGCCCGTTTAGGGTAGGGATGTGCCGCTGAGCCCTCCAAACCCTGACCCTGTTCCAGAGTATGATCGCTGAAAACCATACCCTTTTCCAGAGTAAATATCGTAAAGGTAAATCTGATTTGCTGAATGATGATTTATTGTATATGAAAAACCCTGTTCCGGTATCGCCAAAATAGACACCCTGTTCCAGAGAGGAGAGAGCGTGACTTCATATACCCTGTCCTAGAGCGAGCGCGATTTTATATACCCTGTTCCAGAATAGAATCGCTGAAAACCATACCCTGTTT